AGCCACGATGGGCAGCGCCGACGGGTTCCAGTACCGCGCCCTCTACCCCTACCGCAAGGAGCGCGAGGAGGACATCGACCTGCTGCCCGGAGACGTCCTGGTCGTGAGCAGAGGGGCCCTGCAGGCCCTGGGCTTCAAGGACGGGGACGAGCAGCTGCCCAAGCAGATCGGGTGGATCCTGGGGGTGAACGAGCGCACCAAGCAGAAGGGCGACTTCCCCGGCACCTACGTGGAGTACGTGGGGCCCGTCAAGATCTCCCTGCCCTCCCACAGGCCCCGGGTGCAGAGGCCTCTGCCAGCGACGCCAGGGGCCGGCACGTCCCGCCTGCCAGAGCCGCTGGAGCCAGGTGCGCGGGGCTGCGGGCGGCGCAGGGGCTGTGGTGGAGTGGGGTCGGAGCAGCAGGCTGGGAGCCAGGACGCCTGGGATCCAGTCCTGCCGGTGCTGTGAGGCCGAGGGCGCTCGTGCTCTCTGCACCCTGCCTGCTGACGTGTCGCTGCCGAGGCCTTATCTGGGGCTGGGGAGGGAAGGGGCCACGGCAGCAGTGGTGTTTTCCCCGGCCCAGGGTGGGGCAGGCTGGGGCTGGGCGCTGTCGCTTGCAGCTGCCCTCGAACAAGGAACTCGAGGCTGCTCCCTCGCCCGCCGGCCCTGGTGCCTGGGATGCTGCGGGAGGCGCAGCGTGGCCGGCAGATCCACGTGCCCACAGCTCCTCTGCGGGTGGGTGCCGTGGGCAGTGGGGCGCAGCCTGGCTCTGCCCCTCCTGCCCCGGCTGCCTGACCTGCTGCTGCAGCACACCAGCCCCGCGCCCGTCCCCGGGCCGGAGGCTGAGCTGGGAGCTGCCTGGCTGCAGTGCCGGCTGCCTGATGGAAGCCAGGCCCGGCGGCTGCTGAAGCAGCACATTCCAGGCCGGGTCACGTGGGGCAGCCACGCTGTTTGCTTCCTCCTGGGCCCTGCCGTGGGGTCAGGCTGGGAGCTGCCGGTTCCCGCTCCTCCAGGGCCCAGCGGCTGACATGTCCCAGCCCAGCGCTTCCCGCCCTGGGCCCCGGTCTCGGCAGAGCAGCCCCAAGGCAGCTCCCAGCTCTGCTCTGCTTTCTGCAGGGCTGCGTTCACCCTTTGGAGGGACTGTGCCTTGGTTAAGGGGGCCACAGACCCCCACGGGACCAGGCTCGGCGCCTGCTTCGGATGCTGCCAGGCACGGGCGCTGTTCCAGCGTGCGTCCCTCTGATCCTCAGCCAGCTGCAGGCAGAAATTTGTTGATGCGGCTGTTCGTGTGCGAGCCCGGGCTAGCCCCCCAGCGCCCCCCCACAGCCGAGCCGGCGTTAACCCTTCCAGCACCAGCGCATTGCTTTGCAGCCATGCTCACGGGCTGGGCAGGGTGGACGGTCTGTTAGCCGGGGCCCAGAACATGCCCTACAGCACGCAGCACCATCCGCCGTGCAGGTGCGGACGCAGCCTGGGCACCAGCTGGGCCTGGGCTCCACTGAGCTCTGGCCAGGGCAGAGGTGCCCGCGTGGGCTGCACCCAGTCAGTGACCAGCGCCTCAGTGAGTGGCCATGCAGCAGGGCCAGGGTTAACCCTCCTCCCATTGTCCCCCCAGTCCCTCTCCTCCCGGAGCTGATGGAGCAGTTCTCCCCGCCTGACATCGCGCCCCCGTTGCTGGCCAGGCTTGTGGAAGCCATTGAGAAGAAAGGTGAGGGGGCTGGTCCTCAGGAAGCAAAGGGTTAACAGCGTGGCTGCCCCAGGCCGGTCACCCTTGACCCCTTTGCTGCTGCACCCCACGCCAAGGAGTGACAGGCAGCGTGGGGGGGCGCTGCGGTGTCATCCCCACGGCCTGTTGGTCTTGTTCTGGCTTGGCCGGCCGCTATGGCCCTGGGGCCCAGCCGGTCAGGCCAGTGCTAGCGCCCGGGTTGCTGCAGCCATCGTCCGGCTGGGGCAGTGCACGGGGCCTCGTTCCCAGGCTGCCACATCGGGTGCACAGCCCCCATGGGAGCACCGGGGCGGGCAGCTGGGTCCTTCCCGTGCTCATGCCACCATCCCATGCTTGCTCCCCCAGGTTTGGACAGCGAGATGCTGTACCGGACGTCTGGTTCGGAGCCGCGACAAGCACTGAAAACTGGTAAGAGCCAGACCACAGCCAGGAGGCGCTCGGGCCTGTTCAGATGGGTGAGGTTGGGGCAGCAGCAGCAGGGTCCAGGCCTGGCTGAGCCCTGCCCATCCTGGTGCCAAGCTCCTGGCCACTATCTCCCCAGGGACCTGCCCACCTGCCCTGTCCCATTGGGGTACCCGCAAGGGTCATCCTCGAGGGGGACGAGGGGGCTGCTTCGTGCCAAAGGAGGATGGCGCTGGGGGGAGTGACACGTGGCTTCTGTGCCAGCTCCATTCTTCTCCTCCCAGCTCCCTGCCCCTGCAGTGCCCAGTGCCCACACTCCTGCTGAGCTGCTTGGCATCGTGATGGAGCTGGGCTGGGGGTCCCAGGCGGGCTGGGGGCAGAGGGAGCGGGCAGGGCAGGAGTCCCAGAAGGCATCATTGTTCGCTGCTGTGAGCTGCACCCGTGTGGGGGCCAGTGCTGCGGGGGGAGAGCTCGGGGCAGCCGCGCTCAGGGTTGCGTGCTCGGGGCCCTGCCAGGGTTGCCGGGGGCCACGCTTGAGCCTGCCTAAGGCATCCACGCTCTCTGCAGATGGGATGCTGGGCGACCTGGAGCTGCTGGATGTGCGCAGCCTGGGCGAGGCGCTGCGGAGCTACCTGCAGGACTTGCCCACCCCCGTGGTGCCGGCATGCGTGCATGGTGACATCCTCCGTGTGCTGCAAGGTGAGGGCTGTCCCAGCTGGGGGGCAGGGGCCTGGCAGGCACGGAAGCATTGAGCTGGGCACAGCCCACATATCCAGCCCTGGAGATGCCTCTAGCAGCCCTGGCCCTGCCCCTGCCCTGCCAGCATGTCTTGCCCTTCTACAGAGGTGCCCCAGCTCGAGACCTGCCGGAAGCAGCTGCTGCTGGTGCTGGAGCCTCCCACGGTCCCGCTGCAGAACATGCTCACCCTGCAGTTCCTGCTCCGGCACCTGGCAAAGGTGTCCCAGCAGGCCGACAGCAACGGCCTCCATCCCCGGGTCCTGGGTGAGCTTTTTGGCCCGCTGCTGCTCCGGCTGCCCGGTGCCAGGTACGTGGCGGGCTGCCAGCTGCTGGGCCCGTGGGAGGGCGCCTGCATGCAGAGAAGGCGCCAACCCTGCTTCTCTCCCTGCAGCTCAGAGCTGAGCCCTGACTTCTCTGCCGTGTTCCTGGAGAGGCTTCTGCAGGCGACGGAGTTGGAGCCAGAGCAGCTGCCCCCAGGTACCAGAATCGTGCCATTTGTGCTTCCTCCTGGCACTCGAGCTGCAGGGGCGGCCACAGGCTGGGGGAAGGCCGTGGTGTAAGTGGGCCAGATCCCTGGCCCGTCTCACATGGCATCCTGCTGGTGTGGCTCGAGCATGCCTGCCCCTGGGTCTGAGGCCAGGAGTGGGAGTAAGGGCCTTTCCGGGGTGTTACCATGGGTGGATGCCCCTTGGGGCAAGGCTGCTTCCCAGATGGGCGGGTGCGGGATTACTGGGCCTGATAGCTGCCCCCGTCACAGCCCTGCCTCCGAAGCCGCCGAAGCCAAAGCCTGGTGTGGCTGGCCTGGCCAACGGCAGCAGTGCAACCCTGCAGGAGGCCGAGTGGTACTGGGGCGACATCTCCAGGTAATGGGTGCCAGGTAGGGGTGGAGGGCTGTGCCACGCTCTGAACCAGCAGCTGGGAGGGGCTGGCCTCCCTCAGGCCTGTCCTGGGTCCCTCAGCACACATGTGCACGTGCACACGTGTGTGCCCTGCGGTGCAGTGTGGGAGAGCCTGGGTGCAGCCCCGGGCAGACGTCACCTGCTCCATCTGTGCAGGGAGGAGGTGAACGAGAAGCTGCGGGACATGCCAGATGGCACCTTCCTGGTCCGCGACGCCTCCAGCAAGATCCAGGGCGAGTACACACTCACGCTTAGGTATGTGCAGCTGGCATGGGGGGACGGGATGCCCCAGGAGCATCTGCTGTGGGGGCCACCAGCTGCTCCAGGCCCCTCTGTCCTCTGCTGCCCTGCACAGGGAGGGCTGGTGGGGGTGGCCTGGGGCTGGGACCCCTCGGGGCTGTGTCATGCCTACTCCCTGTGCTCACCAGGAAAGGCGGCAACAACAAACTGATCAAGATCTTCCACCGGGAGGGGAGGTACGGCTTCTCTGAGCCTCTCACCTTTGGCTCGGTGGTGGAGCTCATCACTCATTACCGGCATGAGTCGCTGGCGCAGTACAACGCCAAGCTGGACACCAGACTGCTCTACCCCATCTCCAAGTACCAGCAGGTGTGGCGGGGGCCAGGGTTGGGGCACCGCATGTTTCCAGGGCTGGCTTGGGGTGGCACTGCAGTGGCTGGGGTCACGGCGGGCCTGGCTGAGCTCCTCCGGGCCTGGGGAGCACGAGCAACAGGCGATGGGAGGGATGGGCTGTCTTCAGCCTCCCTGGCCTGGTCAGGATGTGGGTTGTGGCTGAGGGTCGGTGGCCATGCCAGGCTCTGACATCTGTCTGGGCCTGTTTGGCGGCAGGACCAACTGGTGAAGGAGGACAGCGTGGAGGCAGTTGGGGAGCAGCTGAAGGTCTATCACCAGCAGTACCAGGATAAGAGCCGCGAGTATGACCTGCTGTATGAGGAGTACACGCGCACCTCGCAGGTACCACCGCGCTGCCCGGCCCCTGAGGCCCCGTCTCGCGCAGCGTGGCTTGCAGCGCGGGCAGTGAGGCACCCTCCCAGCCCTGGCAGGTGCCCACTACTGGCAGAGGTCTGGTGCTGTGATGGGGGCTTCGAGCTGAGAGGACGTGGCTGAGGCCTGGAGGGGCTGTGGAGGCACTATAGGGTTTGCCTGGGTGGGTGTTATGGGGCAGGACATGGCTGCTGGGAGGAGCCATGCTGCCCTCGCTGCCCCCAGGAGCTGCAGATGAAGCGGACGGCGATCGAGGCCTTCAACGAGACCATCAAGATCTTTGAGGAGCAGTGCCAGACGCAGGAGAAATGCAGCAAGGAGTACATAGAGCGCTTTCGGCGCGAGGGCAACGAGAAGGAGGTGCAGCGGTGAGTGCCCGGCGCTGCCGCCATGCCACGGGGTGGCCCGGCAGGGAGCAGGGACGGCCCACGACGTGCCTGCCCTCCCTGGAGCATGTGGGTATGGCTGTCGTCTCCAGCGCGTGGGCGCAGGGACCCCCGGCCTGCCCACCCCCTCACCTTGCCCCCTGCTCGCAGCATCCTGATGAACTCGGAGAAGCTGAAGTCGCGCATCACGGAGATCCACGACAGCAAGATGAAGCTGGAGCAGGACCTGAAGAAGCAGGCGGTGGAGAACCGCGAGATCGACAAGCGCATGAACAGCCTCAAGCCCGATCTCCTGCAGCTGCGCAAGCTTCGTGACCAGTACCTGGTGTAGGTGTCCCAGCTGGTCCCCTGCTCCTGTGCCCGGGGCTCCCACTGGGCTGGGGACCCCACCCCAGGCCTGCCGACCGGTGCTGCCCTCTGCTGGGCAGCGTGGGCAGGATGCCAGGCCATGGAGCCACAGCCACCCTGCCAGCACGTGGCTCAGGCGCCCTTCTCCTTCCCCAGGTGGCTGACGCAGAAGGGGGCCCGGCAGAAGAAGATCAACGAGTGGCTGGGCATCAAGAACGAGACCGAGGAGTGAGTGTCCCCTGCTTCCGCTGTGTGCTGGGGTGGGCAGGGGTGTGTGGGCATCGCCTGGGTGTCACAGGAGCTGTGCAGGGCTCCCAGTCACCAGTCCTGGGTTGGGGTTGCAGTGCAGTTGTGCCCAGCATTCCCAGCTCTGCCCTAGGGGGTGGGCAAGTCCTCTCTGTGCCCGAGGTCCTGGGGCTGAGGGTGAGGCAGGGGTGGTCACGCTCCCAGTGCAGGCAGCAGCTGCAGAGCCCACAGCGGCATGTGCTGGGGTGAGGCCCGGGTGGGTCTTGCCTGATGGGTCTTGCCGGCTCGGCCTGCAGCCTGTACTCCATGATGGATGACGAGGAGGAGCTGCCGCACCACGAGGAGCGGACGTGGTACGTGGGCAAGATCAACCGGGTGCAGGCGGAGGAGATGCTGTGCGGCAAGCGTGATGGCACCTTCCTCATCCGCGAGAGCAGCCAGAAGGGCTGCTACGCCTGCTCTGTGGTGTGAGTACTGCACATACATATATATGCAAATGCTCCCTCCCCACACACCCCCTTGCAGGCCTGCGGCCCTGTGGCAGTGGGGGGCACATGGGGGTGAGGCTGGGGGTGTTGCTGGCAGTGTCTCGGCCCCGGCTGGGCAGCCCTTCTTGCCTCTGCGCCCAGCGGCCTCTCACTGGAGAGGGCAGCCCAGGTGGGTGCTAGCACCCCCCTCCCTGGGCTTCTGTTGGAGGCAGCTGGCGCATCCTTGAGCCACCCTGGGAGTAATGGGGGTGCCAGGTGTGCATCTGGTATGCAGGGCAGGGGTGGGCACATCCATACTGGGTCATGGCCCCCGTGGAGAGGCAGCCGTGGTGACGGTGCTGGTTTCCCGACAGGGTGGATGGGGACACCAAGCACTGCGTGATCTACAAGACGGCGACCGGCTTCGGCTTCGCGGAGCCCTACAACCTCTACGCCTCGCTCAAGGACCTGGTCCTGCACTACAAGCACACGTCGCTGGTGCAGCACAATGACTCCCTGAACGTCACCCTGGCCCACCCTGTCCTTGCTCCCCCGCCAGCCAGATGAGTACCCACTACGGCCCTCCTGGCCCTGGACTTTCATGCCTTGGACAGACGCCCTGTCATGCTCCGTGACCCCTTTCCAGCGCCCCTTCTGGTCAGTGGCTGCCCCCCGCTGCATGTGGGCGGATGGGCTGTCAGCTTGGGGAATCCCATCACCTGTCAGAGCTGGCACGGCCAACAGGATCGCCCTGGTTACCACGTACAAACGCCTGGACTGTGGCAAGGTGAGCCTGGCTACGGCCGGGTCCTGTGGGAACTGCAGCAGGAGGCAGCTGGAGCTGGACGCGCTGGGCACGGGCTTGGCTGGCGCCTCTGGGATTGGCACGCAGCAGCGGACCTGCTGGACCTCACACTACGTATGCAAAGCACTTGCCAGTACTGCTGGGGTGGCTCTGGGGCCCGGGCCTTGTGCTCTTGCCCTGGTGAGACCCGGCAGGGGAAGGGGCGCTGGGCTGGGCAGCGCTGTGTTCCCTGTGCTGGGATGCCCCTCTTGCTCCCCCCTGGAGCCCAGTGCCACCCGCCCGTCTGCAGTAGATGGGGACTTTGGAGCTCTGCAACCCCCGGCTCCTGGGTGCAAGGTCTAGAAGGTGCTCATTGCTCTGCCTGTGTCCCGTGGCCTCCAGCTGCGTTCCCTGCGCGAGGAGCCAGGTGCTTGCGCTTTGCTGCTGCTGTAGCGCGTCCGGGGATGAGCTGTGTTGGAGGGAAGGGGAAGGAGCCTTGCAACTGGAGCATGCAATCGCCTGTGTCCCTTGGCTCAGGTGCGTTAGATGGCAAGCCAGGGATGCACGTGGTTTCACTGTTGTGGGCTTGTCCTGGCTGCCTGCGCTCATCCTCGAGGTTGCTGCTGCTGCATGCCTGGGCTCGCTTGGTTGCATGGCCAGTATTGCTGCCTGGGCAGCGTCCTGGGGCCCTAGCAGTGGCAGGGGCAGGTGGTTTTCATGTGTGCATTTGCACACACTTTTTCTCACTCCTGTGCAACCTCAGCCCCAGCTTGTGCGTCCCCCGGGTGGTGCGGTGACAGGCTGGGCCCTGCGCTCATGCAGCCCTTCCGCCTGTGTCCCTGGCAGACAAGGTTCTTTGGGTGAATCTGATATCTTTTATTAGGCCCATTTAAATAGTTGGGAAACAATTATTAAGCAAGTTTTCGGGTTCAAAAACCCTTCGTCAGGCTGAGGAAGTTTCAGCAGTCGGTGTGTGCTCTTCCTGGATGGAATGGGAAGTAAAGAAGCCAGCGGCTGGGCTGGGCTGGGCTGCACACAAGACTGGCAGACAGTGCAGATGTAAATTGAGGAGTCAGGCTGTGTCCCTGGGCACTTGTGGTTGTGCTCAGGGCTGCATGTGCGCCCTGCTTTCTAGTTCAGAGCTGCTTGGGCCCTGTGCAGCTGCAGCCCAGAGAGCTGTGGCCATGCTGCGCCCGGGGAGCAGGGGGCTGTCTGGGCTCCATGAAGTGATTTCCCCCTGCCCCGTACGTTGGCTGTGCCTGCTTTCCCAACCCCCCCGGCCGCCTTCCCCCTCGCTGTTGTGGGCTGCTCTCAGGCAGGGCCGGACTGCAGCAGCGCAGCCCTGGCTCTGCAGTGCTGCCCTCCCTGTGAGAGAGCTGGGCCAGCCCAGGGAGCGGGGGCTGCTCTGTCCCTGCGAAGCCCTGGGCAGGGCCCCTTAGGAATAAGCTAGTTGTGATCTGCCCTTGGCTCCGCCGGGCCGGGGCCGCAGCTCCAGCCAGGGGCTTGGGTGGCTTGGGGGCTGTCCTGCTGCTGCGGGGGGGGGCAGAAGAAGCTGCTGGGGCTGAGGCCCGGGGTCTGGGAGCTGGAGCCCAGGGCGGCTGGGGCTGGGGCTGGGGTCGGGCCCTGCCAGTCTCTGCTCCCGGGGGCGCCGTGA